TGGGTTTTCAACGCTTTAGTGACAGCGATTTCACTCTAGCTGTGTGAAACCTGGTGTTTACGAGATGTTAAGCAAACTTTCTGTATTCGATCATTATTATGTTGAAGGATCACTTACATCCATTGGCAACACTATGTTAGTGATGTTAAGATTCGGCACAGTGGCTAATTCAGTCATTTTCACCTACTTGAAACAATGGCTTCGGTGTCTTGGAGACTTTTTCGAATATACTTTAAAAGGCACAACTAATATAATACTTTGGATCTGTTTAACTTGATCCTTGGCAATAGTTAAAAACTGAAAGCAGTTGAATCATTTTGGCAAGTCTATCAATTTTACATATTTCTAAACACCAAAGGTTAATATGTATGGCAGGATTTCTCTGCTCCTTTCTCAAAAACTATCAAGGTAAAACAACAATCACCAAGAGACAAGCTTCTATTTTACGGAAAGATATCAAATAATCTAATATGCGTACCTTGTTCTTCTTCATTCAGATTTAGTTAGGAAAAATGATACTAGCGAAGGAGAAGCAGAGGAGATAGAAAGAAGAAACAAAACAAACAAATAAACAAGAAAAAATGTCATGATATAAATTAGACAAAAAAACAATGAAGTTACTGCGGAAAAAGGGGTTATAAAAAACAAATAAATAAGATAGATAGATACATAAATCGTAACAAAACATCATCGTTATCGTGAAAATGTAATATTCGAAGACAACACATTGAGAAATTTTAAGTTAGACTATAAATGAATATTTGTTACTATAAAAGATGTGAGAACAAAAAACACCATGAGTTCTTATAGCTCAAATATAAGCATATTGTCAGCAATTAAGGAGAAGATAGTAGTAATGTACATCCGCTCAAATAGTGCAGAGAGTAATAACAGCTTTGTGCTTTTATGGTATACTTTTATAAGTGTATTTTTAATCTATTGTATTGTCAAAACCTAGTCCTTTACTATAAATACATGCTCGGTAAGAAATAGTTATCCATTGCAGACAGTGGAATATGGTGAATAAATTAAAGCTAGATATGTACACTAGTGTGTGCCGGCTGAGAGGTCTAGAAGTTAAGAGATATCGCGAGATAAAGATGTTCTGAATTTAATTTCCGGCAGGGTCGTGGATGAGTACTGCCAAGCGGTCTCATACTAGATTAAAACAGCTGTCTAGTTCCTCCTAGTTTTAAATAGTTGCCTAGCTAAGATCAGTTCATGATGCAAACTACAAAATCCAACAATCTATACGATCCCCTATGAATATAACGATATATATCAAGACATCAGTGATAACCTTTTATTTCTTCATATATAAATATATATTATTTTTGAAAAGGTAAATAAACATACTTATGAATAAGGCAAAAACAAGCAAATAATAGCATACAACAAAACAAAAATAATTGCAACTTATATAACATGAATGATAGAAAATTATCATTTGTTTTCGTGAACATAAACAACTTATATAGGAAATATAAATGTTTCGTAATTGTGACTGCTGTTTATCAACTTTCTTACTGTTAGTGAACATAAATGACTGGATCATTTTGCGGTGCAGTTCAATCAATTCGTATGTATCGTTAGGGCATGAAAAATAAGCAGAATCTGTTACTGTCTCTTGGTGTTTTTATTTTCTCCAAAGAAGAGATAAAAATATTTCGATTAAAAAAACATCTGAACTGAGAATCGATCTCAAACTATAGCATTTAAAAACATTAACCTGTAGGAATTATGAGATTCGGGAATGAAACACCAAGCAGAATACTAACTGTCACACTATAAGTACAGGAAAAGCCGACGACAATAAAAATACACCCAACAAATGTGTTACGTAAAAATATAAGACAAATTACCTGAACCTATTTGCATTGTACAATCATTACCAAACAATTAATACGATGGATAGTAAAATTTATTTCTACAGGCAATTTTTTAGTTGAAAATAAAAATAAATACACATAAAATAAACGAATTTTTTGAAAAGAAAACCAACTCAAAGTAGGCTTCAAAAAATGAACAATTAGAAAGATGTTGAATCCATATGTGTATGTGATATTGGAATGAAAATAAAGAAATACACAAAAAAAACAGGAAAAGACAACGTCACTAATAATTAGTGAAACGATAATTCAAGTATAATAAAAAAATAAAATTTTAACTCGACATAAGCCGTTAATACCAATACTGACGTTTGTTAACCATTTTAAATGAAATAAAAAATGTGTCAATAAGAAAAATTTATTAATAATGCTTTATTCTCGAAGGTTTTTAAAGAAAATACTTTCGGGGGGATTAAATTTTTGAGAAAAATATTCCCGATTAAAAACATAAAACTGAAACAGAAAGTTATGGGTTACTGGAGTAGAGTGATTTCAAATAACAAAGTATGTAATGAAAAGAAAGTCTTCAAGAACTGAATCTTATCTACAGTTTAAATATAGTTCCGTAAAAGAAAGGGAATGTAATATACCTCTCTTCACCAAACCAGAAAAGATACCTTGAATTTTTTAATTGACATCGTATATACACATAAATAACGTGAAAAATCAATATTTTTGGATAGTTTACATGAGATTTATTTTCAGAAGACAAAAATGAAGTTGTTCCACATTAATTAATGTTGGTAGCCAAAAGTGGCATTCTTTATATTCATTGAAATACTTAGTTTATTGTATTATCTATTCACGTCTAACTTACAAAATCATTGACAGCGATGCATGAGATAAGGCCATTAGATGTTTATGTCCCATTGTTACTAAACACAGACAATATCAAAGATCTTCGAAGTTGTACAATACGTCTGTAGGATGGAGATTTCTCCAAAGTATTCACATAACAGTTTGCTGATGTGAAACAATTAACTAACAGGCGTCTCACTGAATTTTACATCCTGAAAGTCATTTTTCTGATAGTAGCCTTAATGAGAAATCTGAATCAAATAACAAGTCCAAGTTTTTAAAAAAGAGATTTGAGCCACAATCATTTTGTGAAAGCTAAAGTTTGATCTTCTTTGGAAATCAATTTCAGAGTATCATTACTCTTGAAATTTTAAAACGCTTTAATTATCACTAGGTAATTCGACTCAAAATTGACTATTTTGTGTTTTACTATACACTAGTATTGAACCTGTGGAGAACGTCGGTAGGTTACTGTGATTTACAAGCAGTAACTCAGTGGATAAGGTATTTGACTTGGAGACACGAAATCACAGATCCGAACTCCCATCCAACTATTTAATGTTGGAAAATAGATAGTGTTACTAGACCTCACATTTACAATCCAGCTAAAAGCCAAATATACAAGTCTGTACTAGACAGATTAGTTAACAGTAATCAGTTATTTCTGTAAACGTGTTACTGCATAACCAGAATCAGAATACCACAATAAGTATTTAGATGCATTAGAGTGAAACACAAAAGCTGTAACAAATTTAACATTAAAACAGGTTCCATAAAAAAATATTTAAAAATACAACGGTTTGGTAGGCTAAAAATTATCACATTATACCAGTTTTCATATTTTGCTGAATATAATGTAACTCTAGTGCCGAGTGCATAGTTCAACTACAAGTTATAGCTTTTGTATGAATGATAATAATGTTTTGTGATGACCAGAAACGAATTTTGTAAGGAGGAATGAGTGAACATCCAATTTAGTAATTAAAAGGAACCTAATCCTCACCTCTGATACATCCTTCTAAGATACCAAACAACTTAAAAGCACATGCTTGTACAGCTGATGAAAATGTATTGACCGGAAATCAGAAGGAATATGAAATATCGAAACATTTCTTGAAAGAGAAAAACCAACGAGTTATCACAAGCAAAATACGGTACTTTATTTACATTCTGATATTATATAACATAATCGATGACAAGTGAGTGTTATTACTATGCGATTGAAAGAAAAATTAACATTTTGATCGCTTATTGGTTTTTTTGCAAGCAAAAATTCATGATTTGAAATATTGAGAGAACAACAAAAGCAAATGTGGAGTATATGAGTGTTTGAACATTAATGAAACATAAATAAATATAAGATCATAACTTTTATTTCGCTTTGTCTATTTATTCAATACTGAACAATGACAAGGAAGTGAAATAGGAGGCAGAAAATATAAAAATTGACCCTATATTAGATGGATTATAAGGTTACTTTAATAATCTCAGTCCACCATCTTTTTATAAGTTGAACTTATTATTGAGTCTCAAAACGCACCACAAACATAAACACTAATAACAGCTGTCAACCAACACTGAAGATTACATTGTTATAAAATACCACTACTAGAAAATACACTGCCCAAAATACCTTCAATGACAAGGATTTAGAATCTGTCATTCCACAATCCATATGACTTCATAGTTTTGTACCAGCATTTTAGCGTATGTTTGTTTACCATGAACTGCATATAAAAAAACAACTCCATGCACTGAGCCTGCATCTTATTCTTTACACGAATAACAATTTCGCGATAAATTTTGGGTCAAGATAATTTATGAACCATGTCTTCTCAGATAGCACACCCTTAAATTTTGAATGCTAACTTCACTTTGTATCAATCTAACTATCCCAGTAAATTGGTGTGTGTTCTGTAATCATTTGAAAAATATGAAAAACAAAAATGGTTTCTAGTAGAAACTGGATAGTAAACCTATTCTTGGAATGAGTTGGTGGATTGCCAATGTCTCAGCAGTACAAAAGTTTTTGATTCCACCTCCCTTTGATCCAATTCCTTTGACTGTGTAGATTATTTTAAAGAAAGGGTTCTTAGTTGATTAAATGTTCCTGTATTGAACTGGTAATTGTTTTGCATTCTCTTTATTTAAAAATTAATTTCACACACAGCTCACAAATACATATATGTTCATCGAGTTCTATTTTTAGATTACTTTTTACGGGAACAGAAAGACAACAATGTAATCAATTTAACGTTTACATGAATTCAAATTAGGCTAAAACTGAACATCTTTATTTTTTTAATATTTCAGGTGCACATCAATGCTTATGATGAACAGTGCAACTATGAATATGAATCAAACTTTCACAAATAATTGGATTGGTGAAATCAATCATAAAGTCAACTTATCAAATCCACCAATTCATTCAAAATCCGATCAATTGCCAACATCTAAAGCACATATTTTTCCGACAACATCTTTACAATTAAATCAACCGAAATATCAAACATCACAATCTCCACTATTATTTGATTTCTCTTCAGATCTAGGCAAAACCGAGCATTCATCGCATCGTATACCAAGTTGGCGTAATTTTCTCATTTGTATTTACACTCTATTAACAATATGCGGTGCAACATTCAATTTAATTTTGATATTTGCCTTGTTAAAATTTAGAAAACAAACATTATCGCACAATATTACAAATTTGTTTGTATTATGCTTAGCTGTATCCGATATATTTTTGTGTTCAGTGAGTATGCCAATACAATTATATTATGAAATGACAGAGAATCATAAACCAAGTACAGATTTATGCCGAGTATTATTTAGTAGTTTCGGTATACCAATGTATATATCATGTCTAACTATTTTATTAATTGCATTTGATAGATATCGTCTTATTGTTTATCCATTAAAAACACAATTAACACCGAAAGCAGCATTTGGTCTAATTATTATTGTCATATTATTTAGTGCATTGAATTCAATACCAGTTGCATTACAAGTAAATAGTGAAGGTTTAAATGATTATCATTATTGTGTAGAATCATGGCCAAGTCCACAATTACGATTTGCTTATTCTGTATCCATTTTTGTTATATTAGTGCTATTACCGTTAAGTGCATCAGGTGGATTTTATTTAGCTATCTATCGACGATTAAAGCAACGTCCTTGTCAATTAAATACTAATAAAGAAGCAGAAAAACGCAAAAAGCGTACAACTAGTTTACTAGTAATAACAGTTGTTTGTTTTGCAGTCTGTTGGACACCATGGTGTTTATATTCATTATTATTAGAAGTACAAGCTTTATTAAATGTTGAAAATGATTTACCATCAGCAAGTAAATATGATTTAATAAAATTTAATAGATTATTCAATTCAAGTCAACAAACAATTCACAAAGAGGATGAAACATGGAAATACTCTATTGGTTTGAAAACATGTGAAGACTTTCTATGGTATACAATGAATCAGTCATTACCTATTATGAATGGAAATTTTACAATGGATTCATCGATTGAGTTAATGAAACCAAATATGAATATTATACCGGGGAGACACATAAAAATTATTGATCTTTTATTAAAATTATTTGCAATGGGTTCTGCCTGTGTCAATCCATTGTTGTATGGATGGTTAAATGAACCGATACGTGTAATAATGCGTAGACAATACAGTAGATTTGAAGGATGCTTTAAATGCTTTGAAATTAGAAGACGTCGTGCAGACAATAAAAAACATATGAAAAATCATATAGAGGAACAAAATTTACAAAAAAGACCATTAATTAATATTTCTTGCTTTGATAAACACAAATCAACATTATTATCATCATCATCCTCCAAATTTTTGAGACCTTCACATTTCATTAAATCCAATTTAGATTATGATACGAAGCCAAAAGTGATAATTGACAGACCAAAAATTGGTAGTAAGCAACTAAATGATGCTCGATCAGTGAGTTATGCTGAAGGAGATACTGATCTCAATAACAAAGACAGTTTAAATCAAATAATCGTAATAAAAAATAATAAACTTGACTCTGATACTGAGATTTTAACTAACAATGATGATAATAATAATAATACTGTCGACAGCAATCGAGGCTAGTCTGATTTACTGCCACTAAAATGACTTGAATTTAGAGGAGAACCACGAGTTAATAGATTATGACTGAATGTATTCAATTGTTAGAGTAAAACACCAAATTATTCAAATTTAATTCCTTAATTTTTTTCCACACATAAAACAGAACGTCCCACACTTCACATACAAAGAAACGGAGAATCTGTTAACTTTTATGTATCCAAGGATGACGAATGAATAGATGGTAAGTGAATATAAACATATGGATTTAAACACGTTCTTTTCGCTTATTTAAAAAAGACTGTAGATTAGTATAACTCCATTTATGAGATGCTTCAGTTAGTGCAACTCATTAAAGATTAGGAAAATACATAGTAAACATAACAAGAACGATCACTGTCAAATTCATGTACTAATGTAAAAACTTCAAATTATCTTGTTCGTGTGCATAAAATCGATTACCGAAGGGATAAAAAGGGAAGAGTCTGATTTGTAGCATACTCAGGAGTAAAATACTTCAAAAATTCCATACAAAACTAAGAGTAATATAATTTGTGGACTCGTTGATCACTCTATAAATGTATGCTAACTGTAGTGGCTGAGGTATATATAACGTATGCTTAGCCCCACCTACCTAGAAATCAAAGTAGACTGGAAAACAGACTATTACTAGACCAAGTCATATCGCCGGTGTGTAAGTTAGCTGAAGATTTGCTTGGTTTCTGTATGAAAGTTCAAACATTTTGGATATAATTTTGAAGTCCATCGTAACTTGTAGTCCACGGTCGCGAAATGACATGTTTAAAAAGTTATCTTAGTGAAACGGATAATATATCCTATATCTAAGTAACACATATAGAATATATATAAACTAATATGAAAAGCTCAGACTTATTGAAAAGTCCAATAAAAAACACAATCAAAACTTCACGAAAATGAGCAAACGAAGCACTATGAAATTTATAGCTCACATATTGATACAATTCAACACTCATGTAATCAAGATAAAAGCCGTAAAACGTAATAAGAGTAATAGAATCTTAGATACTGCTGAATATAACCTCTTTAAAAGCCTTAATTTTTATATCACAACCACTCACGCATAAAATCAAGCGACAATACACAGATAATAAGCCTGAACACACAGCATAGATGCTGTTTACACGCATTTGAAAGCCGTTTTGACCTAGTGGTCTAGAGGTCAAACGGTCGGGCGAGATTGAAGGACCTAGGCTCAAGTCCCGCGTGCGGAATAGTGAAAGCACACGGTTGAGCAGTCCCAGTACCAGAACGAAGCGCCCGTCCAGTGCTTCTGGATTCTTAATGATGGTCGAAAATTAATCGGCTCATGATCTTAATTTATATACATATGAACGAGAAATTGATACATAAAGTCAATAATAATGAAAATAACACTACCTATTTGTGATGTAATTGTAGCATTTTGTGTAAGGCTTATTAAATGCTGATACTTATTTGAGGATGACAGCTCAATGAACCAATCTACTGAATCCATCCTCTTGTTGTCTAGAGTAAGAAGTAATACACTGAACAGAATCATATTTAAAAATATGGGTTAGGGAGTATAGAATATTTTAAACGTTTATTATACTAATGCGTTGCAGCTTATCATTAGACATAACATTTAAGGAAATAGGATCACTGAATCGATTTGTTGCTAGATTTTAACCAGGAAAGTTCCCCATCTATACACAACTCAATAATTAATGACATCATCAACTAGTAGTGTCGGACCTCAATTCAGTAACTCCCCGTACAACGCTATGGAAAATCCAGTAATACACCACTGACAGATAATGTACAAAAATTCAAAATCTGTTTTAAGGTCAAAACTATGCTATAGGTGATGAGAAAACTTTATATTCTTTCTATAATTTTACTCTCTATAGTATTTCCAATTATCACTATTCATTTATTTATTTGACAGTTCTTCATTCTTAAGTAAAAAGGTCTACAAACAAATGTATAGTCAGATTATTAAGAGTGAATTGGGTCAATACGTAAATCATAATTTTTAAATTGACTTTATATATATATATATATATATATATATATATATATATATATATATATATAGGGAAGTTGATATTAACACACTATAAAACTTAAGAAACATTCCCTATATAAATTTGAGAACAAAAAAGGAGTAACAATTAGGGCAGAAAAACAATATGAATTTTATTGTAATGCATGAACTCTCATCAACTTCTTAAATCCTTCTTGGAATTGGTAAAATCCACCCGATGGATTGAAATATGCCAGTAACACATAATTAAAACTGATGACCGAAAATGCTTATGACTAAGAAAGTCATTATTATTAATAGTTATAATGTTAGTAATGGTAATTTATTTACTATGTACTTGGGCATGAGCCTCACGCTCTGTGAGGGCTAATGTTACCATTTAGTTACCTAACATGAAGTGGCTGTAGAGGTGTTTTGACCTGGGTTGGAAGTCGAACAACCTAACCATTAACTCACCACTTTACAAAAAAAAGTTTTTAACGAGGTTGTTCATGCACAGGTTCATCAAGTAAAGTTTGAACAGAATGTTAGACGAAACTAAGAAAACATTCTTGTGGCGGAATACTGAATACATAGATTATGTGAAGATTATTATAAGGGTTAAAAAATTTACACTATTTTGAAGAGGTTCACTCGACGAGAACAAGAGTACTTAGAATTTGATGACGTAAGGAATAAATAAGTAAATGAATTAACAAAAGCTGCTTAATCATCTTAATGAAAACAGTAGTCAGTTAGTCAGCTAAAACAGAACAAGGTACATATATGTATCGGTCCACACCTCATTAGTACAACAAGATAAACACAAAATTCATAGAAGTAGTTACTTCAATGGTAGTAATATACTCAAAAAATTGAATATAAGGATATATACAGGAGAAAAATATTTACACCGAAAATTCACTGGTGAGCTGTGAATTTTCGGTGTAGAAATTTAGACAAAATGTAGTTGGATTGCATTTTTCAACGTGTGGACTTTCTAAAATGATGCTAAGACGTTGACAATACGTTTAGCGTCAGTTGAATGTTGAGAAAAGGATCTTTTGAGATCCTATGTTTTTTTAATCTCTTTTTTTAGAACTTGTTCAGAGATTCGTGCGTGCACTCTCCTTTCTGTTCTTTTAATGTATTTTCACTCTGATACGCAGTTATATATTAGCGATATAATATCCTGAGAGGAAATCCCAAGAGTTCTGGTGAGAGTTCAGACATGTCGTGTGCAAGGCAGTCACCCACAGAAGACAATTGGAGATGATTGCGCAATATCGTGAAACGATTGAGGTTGGACATTAACACCGTCGGATGCCATTTAGTGTTCTAAAGGTTAGGTATTCGCGTGAGAAGTGGAATGTTTTGGGTTCAAATCTTCTATCGATCGGTTCACTATTTCGACCAAACACAACAATCTCTACAACTATAAACCTACTACGGCTTTTAATTGTTTAATGAAGTAGTTAGTGAATACATAGTGAAATCTATAGTTGATAGACAAGTAATTTTTAGTAACTTAGTTGTTTCATTGAACTCACTATCTCTAAACACGGTATGTAATAACTCTACTACTATTCCACACTGTACTACACATTTTACAAGTACTTACTCTGAGTAAATTTTTGTTATTTGAATACAAATACAAATACATTCAAATTAACCATTAAAGTGGTCGATAAATGGGTTATCTTTGTTGGAATTTTTAAGATCCTAGATGGATTTAAATTGATAGCGACACTTTAGTTATCTCTAAGATGCCTTTTACTATAGGAATCTGTTATATGATTATTCCAAACGTTTTAAATTATCATTTGATTGGTTATATTGCTTAAATAATACCATTTCAACAAATAAAATAAATAACCCCATCGAATCAAACACATTTTATGCAGTGCATAAAATTTTAAAGGAAAAAATAAGACAACTTACTTATATGTTGTTAGATGACGAGCATATCCAGCTAATTGTTCATCTATACCAGAACCAAGGAACAGAAACTAAAAAATAAGCAAAGGAAAACACTTTAGAATTGTTTCGATGAGTCAGTCAATCAGTATCAACGTGGAACTTCGTACGTACGTACATCAGCTCGAGTTGCTATACTATATTAGCACAGAGATGCAGCTGTCCATTCAAATCCCGTAGTGGTAGAAGTGTTAAGTGTATAAGCAGTAAACGGAAACATTAGGGTTTGAAGATGTTATCCAAGGAGTATATTACAGTGAAATAAATTTGGAAAGAGGAAAAATAAAAGGGATATGAAGAATTCAGAAGATTAGAGTTTGGGAGAACACAAAGTGTGGATGCACCTGCGCCATTGCAAACGATTTTCAGCCATGTCATTCAAGGTCTCTAACCATCGGTTGCTATAGTCTAGCGGACCCCAACCAAGTAGTCTACACCTACCAACATGGCTCAGTCCACTTGTCAGTGACTTCATGGATTTGTGCCATGTTTCGGTCTGGCCGCCCCTAGCTTTCTTCCAACCTACTACTACACCACAAAACATCGCACGTCGGGGCAGTCGGTGGTCGGGCATACGTAACACATGTCTCAGCCATCTCAACTGATGAAGTTTCACTACTTCATCAATTGATTTGCCATCCTTACCTAGTACCCGTTTCCTAACAACTGCATTACTTACTCGATGGTCACAGGATATACGAGCAATGTTTCGAAGACACCTATGATCAAATACCCATTAGAGCTGATCAGACTTCCAAGATAAGTGAAGTTGTCAACGCGTTCGACTACTTCACTGCCTATCCTTAGTTCAGGTGTTGATGCAGACCAGTCCTGAAGCAACAACTTGCATTTGGAGGGAGAGAAGCGCATCCCAAACATTCTGGCATTGTTGCTCAGTGCTACCAAAAGACTCTGCATTTCATCAGCGTCTTCACCAAACAGGACTATGTCATCTGCGTATTCTAAGTCGATAAGTGGACCTTCTGGTAGGAGATCAATACCTGAGAATTCAGTCGATGAGAGCGTTATTTTCATCAGTAGATCTATGATGAAATTAAACAAAAATGGAGAAAGTGGACAGCCTTGGCGGACGCCACTTGAGGTTGCGAAAGCAGATGACAGTTCGCCATAAGCTCTGTCTCGACTAGTAGTGTTCGAGTAAAGAGCCTTCACAAGGTTTATGTACTTCTGAGGTACACCTTTAATGACATACACTGCCACAGAACCTCTCGGTCAACAGAGTCAAACGCTGCTTTTAAATCAAGGAAGACCACTATTGTCGGACGCCGATAAGTATGCCTGTATTCTAGAACCTGACGAATGGTGAATATGTGGTCGAAGCAGCCACGACCAGGTCTGAAGCCAGCCTGATTTTCACGTGTTTGCAGCTCACGAGTCTTAGTTAGGCGTCCGAAAATTATCGAAGCTAGTATTTTAGATATTATATTAGTTAAACTAATCTCTCTGTGGGTGTCACAGGATGATTTTGTATTTTATTTTATTTTAACACATAAGTATAGGTACAGGGAGGCACCAAATACATGTGCGCCACACAAATCTCAATTGATTTGTGTGAGGGCTGTGATACTGCTCGGGTGCCCAAACCAAAGCAGGTGGTTTTCTTAGGGGGCCACACCCCGAGCCTTCGACCTGAACGTCTGATCCACAAGGCAGTGGAGCATCGTGAGGAGATGCAGTACCATGGTAGCCGGTGACCAACGATTGGTTCATACACCATTTGTTCCCTCAGGCAGGAGACTGGAGCCCATGTGCACCATTGGTTTGGGGTCCGGTTAAAGCGCCAGACATTCGCTTTTCGTCCTCTCATTTTTGTAAACAACACCCCCGCCACGAGAAGGCAGTGAGTAGGACTTCCCTGGCAGAGGCTATATACGCATGGCCATGTGAGAGCATTTCGAGAGGGAGAGCGGACTCTCCCCACTCTCGGCCGTACCAGGGCATTTGGGGGCGATAAGTGATTGTGACCAGTTAGATGGGATGACGTCTAACTCCCAGATTTTAGCTAAAATATTAGTCAACCTAATCGCTAAAACTAGACCACCATCCTTAAAGACCTCTGGGGCCAATCCATCTGGACCAGCTGCCCTTCCTCGTTTCAGATTAGCAATAGCCTTTTGAACTTCAGCTAGAGTTGGGGGACCTGCTTCAATGTTCCATTCATACTGTCTGGGAATAGAGGGTAGTTGTAGAGTAGCTGAAGGCTAACTGAACTGTTCTCTAAAATGTTCCGCCCATCGTTCTAAACGTCTGGACTGGGAGCAGATGAGAGTGTCGTCTTTTTCCGAAATAGTCTGACTTACACTTAATTTATTAATTCCAGTTTCTTTTATTAGTCTGTAGAGTTGTCGGGGTCAGCCTCGTTTTCAGAACTATCTAAGTGTGACCTCAGTTGTTCCTGGAACCTACTTTTGGTTTTCTCATTACTCAATTCGGTTCTAATGAGTCTTTTTTGTGTGGCTTTTTTGCGTCCGGTGAGGCGCAAGCAGATGCGTGCGTCCAAGCAGGTACTCCAGAATGAGCGACAATCTTCTATTGACCCTCTCCAACGATGTCTGATGGTAATATGGTCTATTCGAGTCCATCGTTGGTTTGGTGAAGGGGGTCGACATGTTAGACGATGTCTCTCCTTATGCTTAAAATTTGTGTTTGCTAAAAATAAACGATTGTCTGAGCACAGTTGCAGCAGACGATCACCATTATCTGTTCTCTGTGCCGGAATACTAAAATACCCACCTAAATGTTTTTCTGTTTCGTTTAAGCTACCTACATGGGCATTAAAGTCGCCTGCTACGAGTACTATGTCTGAACGTTTAGCTTTCTGAAGAAGTTCAGACAGCTTTCTGTAAAATTCATCTTTCACTTCATCCAAGCTGCAGTCAGTGGGAGCGTAGGCAGAAACGACGAAAAGGAAACGACGTGTGTTCCTATCCTTTCGAGTTCTTACGGGGCCGTTTAGCCGAACAGCGCCTAGACGACTGTTAACGGGGATCCACTCTAATAGCGCTTGTTTCGCCCTCATGCTTAATGCTATGCCTACACCTGCAAGTCCATGAGAACTAGCCATCGGGTCGCCAGATACACGGAGGGTGTATCTCGTCGGCTCTCCGTTTTGCCGAGGTGAGGTCAAGTGAATGACCACACTAGGATCCTGTATGCGTGTTTCGGAGACACAGCATACATCAATGGTACGAGATTCTAAGGTTTTAGCCAAGGAAGCCTGCTGACAGATTTGGCATAGTGTGCGTACGTTGAAGGCTCCAATGTGTAGTTTGGAGCGAGGTTTCAGTAGACCTGGGACAGTGTTTTGCGCACTAGAATAGTTGGCTGTGGTGACACTTGAGGAGGAAGCCGAAAGAGGAAATTTAGATTTGAAAGTCGATGTAAGAGGAATGATAGGAATTGAAGAGGTAGGTTGATTATGAATACAGTGGTCTTGAGTGCTGTTAGAGGTATGAGGGCGGTTATCACTTCCCGGTTGCCCACACTGTGGAAGGGTTCTGCTGGAGGTACCTGAAAAGGAAATTGGATTAGAGGTGGTCATAGTGACCTGAGAGCGTGACCGCAGTGCCCAAGGGACAGCTGCTTGAGGTCGGTCACACACGACCTTTTTATGAGTAATTTTTGTGTCAGCTCCGTACTTGTTGAGACCTTACCGCCGGAGACGGATATCCGTGGGATAAGGCGAGGTGTGCATTTTTAGCGTCGACCTTTTCTAAACCCTCCCCTCCTTTTGGGAAGGCAGCATCGCTGTTATGCTGGTTGTCTGGAGGAAACACCTTACTGCTGTCACACCTCTGTACAGTCAGCAGTACGACTTCGCCTTCGGACCTTGGATTTGTTGCTTTTAGTCTTACCGCTCTTCAACCAACCTGTCTGGCATGGTAGGACCTTGAGGAACGGTTGTTCCAGCCAGTATAGCTCAGTTGCTTCACCACGATAGGCAAGCCCGACCACCACGTCAAGGTAGCAACAACGGTCAGACACTACATTAGTCAAACTAACTCCTCTGTGATTGTCACAATAAGACTTTTGTCCTTTCTTATAGACTGGTACAATCAGTGATTGAGACCAGTCAGATGGGATTACGTCCAGTTCCCAGATTCTACCTAAGACCTCAGTCAATCTCGCTGCTAATACTGGACCGCCATCCATAAAAATCTCAATGGTAAACCTGTCAGGGCCTGCTGCTCGCCCATGCTTAAGATTTCCTATAGCTATTGTTTCGATGTATGATTAAAGTAATCATCATAAGGACTTAAAATAAATCAAAATGTAAAGAAGATTAATAAACTACGAGATTCTCACAAAACCACGTCCACACAGTGGGTCCGTGAGCCTCAGAAAGTGGATTTTTAATCCAAATAAGCCTGTGAGCTTTACCGACTGAGGCTTCACCAACCTCAAGTGGATGGAACACAGCAACAAACCTGCAACACATAAATTGACGTGGTGAAACTAATTAAATTAATTTTAGTTAGTGGTTCTTGATAAGTTTATCTTAATGTTTTAATTAAAGTCTCAGATTTCATATGTCAAGTTAAAAAGAAACTATGACGAATTTCAATTGTTCGCACAAAATACATTTAAAAAATAATACCTGTGAAATAAATTTAACAGTTTATGGAAGAAAAACATCCATTATTTAATAAAATCAATTTATTTTTGGACGTCTCAGCGACAAGCAGAACAACACTAAGATGAACTCAGAATGATCACATTCAAAACAAGACATGCTTTAAATGGCTAAGTCGATATATACAACAGAATCAAACACAGTGTGTGCACGAAATCCCATTCAGACTAGCCAACACAAAGCTAATTAACTGTAACTCCGTTCATCATGTTATCAAAAGATCACAGAAAACTATTTTAGATTGAAATAATTTAGATTAAATCGATTTTCGGATAAAAAAACATTGGTGTAAGCGCAAAAAATCTATAATTTTTAATAGAAAAGTAAACTTGAAATTCAGACTTTACAAAAACGGAAAACTATTGGGATACAAACGAAACTGAGTCGAAAAAGTTATTGTCACAATACTATGACACAATTTAAGGATATATATATATTTTAAGAAAATTAAATATTAAACCTTAATTTCATATAATTTATGTTATATAATGAATAGGCTTTTTTTATGATATAGATGTCTATACACAGAAGGGTAACATACGGACGATGTAGATCAGATCTACAGTTAAGAGAAATGTAACTGTGAGAATACAAGGACACTAATTAATAAAATGCTAAAATTTATTGTAGTTATGATAGAAATGAATCCAAGTTATTTGCAAGTTGGATTATTTGATGACGTTCCTTAATTATGAACCAGTCGGAAATTTCTGGCACAGGATAAAATGTTACTGAACAAAAACGAAAACTTCTATACAACAGATTCTTTGAACTAGCAAGATGAATAAAAAAGATAAAATAATATTGTGATATGGTTAACAGATAAATGTAGTTTTACCACGGTAAGATGATCACTGTAAACAATGTTCGACTAAAAATTTCTACCTACTTATTCGTTCTCAGATTATCAGACAGTGATAACAGTTCATTGATAACAATACATATAAATTTAACAGAAGAACTCCCTCGCAAACCTGCCTACTTTGTATTGAGTGCAGCATCACTAACTTATTGGGTATACAATTGAAATAATTTCATTTTCTTTTTGTGACAACTGAATTTCACGCAACAATATGGACACTATTTTGAACATTCTGACCATAGTACAATATAATTGCAGGAAAATAGGTGAGAACCTTAATTTTAGTTTACACACAATTTGCTCTTATATGATATGCCAAGTAAAAAAGACAAGATATAAACTACAAACATCATTTTTAACACCACTTTTATTGACTTCATATTAAAGACAGTAAATATTGCACGATACTACTTTGTCATAGATATAGGTCGACTTGTAACGAATATACTGTAGTTATCATTACCAGGAAAGATTTAAGAAACAACTAACAAAAGATTGTAAAAATATTCATTGAAATCATAACCAAAGTTAGCGTCAGATAGTGATGAAGAAAATACGAAATTGAAAAATCTGTATAAAGCTTAGCATCTTTTGGCTAAATATTTTAGATAAGCTAAAATTTGTTGCCAAAGCCCTAGGGCTCCAACTAACCCATCTTTATAAGGCATATATGTATGACAGAATTGTTTACAAGAGTAAAAGTAGTACATGTAAATGAGATAAAAATACTATCGAGCGAATGATAATTTTTTTGACTTTTAATTAACCATTAAAACATTTATTTACGGTAAGACCACGAATTTTTGTGAGTCAACAGGAAATAGGAACTTTCTTAGGATAATAATAATAAATAATTAATTAAAAGCAACAAAACAGTAGTTTTGCGATATAAAATTATAAATAACTAAGGAAACCACAGGAGAGTATGAATAGGTTTCGTTTTAGTTTGCGTTTCCAAAGCAATAAAGATAAATTATTTGAAAAACCGAAGATCACTTGGACAGGAAGCTTGACAACATATGAGGTTTCAGTGCTGGGTTCCAGAGCAGAAATTACTATCATCCTTCTAAAAGTCAATTTTCAGTATACAAAGGCTAGACCTAACATGTCATTGTAAATCGGCTGTCTCAGTCGCAACTGTATGTAAACAGATTGATTGATTTTAGTTATGAAGGTGAGAAAGACGTAAACGATTATTTCAGAAAACAACTCTAACGAAACCAAAATGATCAATTAGCCACGCAATCTTTAAGTTTTAATCGACTCAATAAAAATAATCCTTAAATATCCATATAGTTATTCAAATTATTTAGGTAGAAAGAAACTGTAGTACCGACACATTATTAACGTTTTTATCTTTGAAAAAAATAAACACACCTTTGCCGACGAAGTGCATTTCTCTTCGAATTCACTTGAACTGTGTAAAACACCTTTTCCACGGGCTGCAAACCAAAGAGCTAAACCTAGACTATCATCTAAAACAGTTGTATGTTCTGGAAGCAGTAATGGCCATACATGTTTAACTCTAAATTAAATGGGAGAAAGAATGTATTGAAGAAAATTAAATCATCCGTTAAAATAATTTCAAAATATTAGTAGAACAGCTGTTCAGTAAGTATTGCTTATAAAACTCATACACTAGACCCTAAACATTTCAACGATGCTTCACTTTGTGTTATAAAAAAAAACTGAGAAAGCTAGCTTTTCTTCACATTCTATATAATGATAATACTGTCAGATAGATCAAGGTATTAAAAAAATAATATATGTAGAGAAAAATATAGTACTTGAACAATAAAATAGTACAAGGAAATGAAATACAACAACGAAAAATTCCGATGTTAACACCTTTATATTCAAAAATTATTTTAAGTTCCATGCCTTTTCTTTTAAAATAAAATAGATGCTGGAAATGAAATTGAATAGTTTCCACCATAAAAAGTAGATACACCACGAAGGAATAGAAAAAAGAATTAGAGGAAAACAAATATGACAACAATGTTTCAAGGAAATAAAAATGTGTATACAGTTGAAAATTAAACATGAAAGTTTATTCGAGTTTGTAATGGAATAACATTAACATAACATCGATTAATCAATTCATGTCATCTGGGGTTATGTATAGGGGGACAGTTTGTTAAAATATAATATTCCCTTACTAACCTATCTCTGCATGTAAAGTGAAAGATATCATATGATGAACAAGAAGAGCAGTAAAAATTGGTGTAAAACTGAACATAAGGTGTAACACTGGTTTAATGTAAGAAAATATCATACTATAGTGAGTAGTAAACGAAATTTATAAATAAAAAGGACTATAACTATTCACCTTCAGAAATATGAACCCCAACGGCTCTTCTGACTAAAAGATAAAATGAGTTTGAATCAACCACCTAGTGAGTGAGGCGCCAATAGAACTGAATCACTTTTCTCACCTCCTTGACCAAAGCTTATGATTCGATGGTCCACACAATAATAGAATAGGTTAGCTGAATATTCTGAAGGTCATGCAGAGGATTCTGAGCAGTATCGCTCAAATCACATGTAGAATTTCTATTCTATTTTGTTTGAAAAAACTCAACAATTATGGTGAAATGAAGCAAACTTCGAAAGTTAAGACTTCTGGTGAACAGGCTAGGACATTCACCTAAACTAACTACAAATGTTAACAAAATTCAATCGACCCAGCTTCACAACACAAAATGGAAATCAAGTTAATGACACATTATGAAACTAATTCATATTTTACTATGCAGTTTAAATACTTAAAACATACACTTTTGTAAATTGAAAATAATACGTAAAAATGTGGTCATGTTTCTGCATATAAAATACATAAACGTTCAATTTATTCAAAGCAATTGTAATAGTTAATTAAGCAAAATATACTACTTTAACTCATCAACGAATTTCACAACTAAGATATGACTACATTTCTCAGTTTTAAAACAAAGACGTTATGGAAGAATTGAGTAGAACCGCACTATACATTTTGATCGAAACCAAAAAATAAGGTTTCCTGAAATTGCTAATTTATCAATTAATAAATAAATTTCACTAAAACTGTCAAATATCTAAATTATTTTTTTCAAAAGAAAAGCAAAATTAGATATGAGAAATGTAAACATCTCAGCAATAAATTTATTGAATGCAATTACTGATGGTAAAGAAAATACAGTGAGACCAAATGAACACATAATAATGTAGAGGAAAATATAATAAATTATAATTAACTAAGTCAGAATAAGAGAGAATATCAAATTAAAAAATAAATAATTTACCAAGATTAACAATAGGACAAACATACATACACAAATATTAGCTAACTTATCTAGATTGTTCGGATTCACTTGCATAGTGAATGATTGAAGGCATGATCATTTAATCTATTCTAGTTTTCTTTTTTATGTAAAATGATAAATTTACTAATTAAGTTTGGCGAGAAAAAGAAGTAAACAAGTCTCTATTCTAATATATATATATATATATATATATATATATATATATATATATATATATATATACGTCAAGTTGAATATTATTTTCAACCATAGTGTTGAACACAAAGAAATTAAAAAGGATGGTCGCAGTCAATTTGTTTATTTTCTGTTTTTCTTTATTGTTTTCAATTGAATAATTGATATTTGAATGACACATTTCCTATGCGGAAATAAAACTGATATGATTTGAAGTAAATATCATTGTGGAAATGCATGGGTAAAGTTCATTCAGTCCCCTTCGTGTGTTCGTTTGCATAGCATTGAATGAATCAATATTATTTATTATAATGAACTAAAATTATTTTCTAATATTTTTCTACATTTCTGAATAATTATATCAATCGTTCTTTTTTCTTTTTTGAAACAGATAAGATTGACAACTAGCAGATATGTGGATGAAATATGAAACAGGGAAGTTAACTGAGAATCATATACATTTTTCGTTGTATAAATATAAGTTTTTCAAAGGATACTAGTGTTGTTAATCATAGCCATATATTTAGCTTAAAAGACTTCTTAGATAGACTGAAGTTGATGTACGTCATGTATTGATATAAACTGAAGAACCATTGAACTTCCCTGAAATATCCACCCACGACATAGTCAGGGACCGATAATAGGACCTTCACACCTTCAAAAGATAGAAATCCCGCTAAGTAGGTTTATGAACTATTGAATCTTATTTAGCACTTAAACGCTTCCGTTTGTCCTGAAAATTATAGATCCGATTTATCGCGAAGTATTGAATGTCGAATTGAAAGCCGTTGTCCGGCGCTCCACGATTCTTAGTAGTTCCTCAGCTAATGTTGATCCGTGAAGAAAATTACTTATACACAAATGCTGACAGTTGACTTTACAGTTGACTCATCTCTTATCTTAATTATACGCGAATAGATGGTGCAGCTCTATACAAAAGTATTTTTATCATTTGTTTACCGAAATATCCGTAAAATATTCATAAGACTACATATTTCGATGGTAAAGAAACAAATCACCAACTTTAACAACAAATATATTAAAAATTAAAAAAAGAAAGCGTTATGTACAGACAAAGAAATGTCGCAACATAGACAATTTTTGACTGAAAATAAAATAAATATGGAACAGTTTGTTTACCAACTCAAAATTATAAATTACTATTGAATTAGATCAGTACGTTTTTAGAAGTTTCTTTGGCAAACGATTTATGATTCTCAGTTAAAATAAAATCCAGTATATTTCGTCATTGTAGTAAAAATGTTATTACAGCTATTTAATCCAAATATACTATGCAGTAATCTTAAGATTCCAATCAACTGATAGTCTAGTGAAACTAATCTCATATAACATGATTGCGCATTATTCCCCATAACTGACTTAATCTTTCAGCATCATACATTACCTATGTAACATCAAGAATTTTATAAAACCTACCTAGTCAAATTTAAGCCATTAACGGTTAGTAGTAAATAATTGAATGTTTTTTTTAATTACTTTGATACTATCTACAAAATCTGTTAGGTTAACACGTCAATGCAAAACGACAAGTGCATAAGGTCAAAAATGATATATAAGCATGAATAACACATTCTCTGTATTTTCTATGTGATTTACAGTGAACAATTAAACAAGAGAAAAAAACTAATTATTTCAGCTAGAAAGAAAGCTTCCAAGACAGTATGAAGTCAGTTAGAGAAGTATAAAAAATCGAATAGCGATGGAAGTTGTTTCCTTCCAGTTTGAGAATACTCAGTAATGTACATCCACAACTACTGAAAGAGATCGGAAACATCAGTATATTCTTAAAACTACTGTGTTGAAAATAAAATAGTTTATATTTTACAAGTCTGCCTCATGCTAATTGGCTCATCAGTTGATATACATATACATGAATACAGTCTTTAAAATCACCAAAGTGTCGTCAAATAGTTATGTAAAAATCTCATTTTAATTCTTTTTTAAGAAACTGAAATAAAACGAACGCAACTATGTAATTTTTCACTTAAGTAACTAAAACAAGGATTAGTGTACAAAAAAATCTAAATTTTACTGTTAATATAGGAAATGTAGTGATACTATTCAGTTTCTACGACTGAATTAGGCGGAGCAAAGTTCGAGGTTGAGACTCATTGACCTAGGTTTGGTTCCTTCAATAAAAGAAACGACTGAGGATCTGTAAATATTAGGCATCAAATAACAGTCATTGAACGGAACAAATTAACGGAACCTTTATATGTTCATTTGTTTAGATTAACAAACAAATATCATGAAAATTAAAAGTAACAACAATAAGACAAAATTATTAAATTAATAAACAATGTGAACTATTTTAATTTCAGTAACGAATCAATTCACATTTTATGATAAGAAAACAAGGAGTGAGAAATTGATTGAGTAAATTAAATGCGAACAGTTTGAAACAGATGAGAATTTTGTTAACCAAATACTGCTGAAGAAAAAAACCACATTGATAACGTAACGCAACGAAAAAAGTACAAATGATAAATGAAGCATAATTAAGTTACATAATTATATTTTATCACAGGAAATAAATGCGTATTACTGATCCTTTTTCTAACGCTTGATTGACTGAGTAATACTCAAATATTATTAGACTATGTATTATCAAAATGAAATGAAATATAGGAATGGATATTCAATGAATTAAACTTGCTTAACATCTAATATTCAGCCATAGACTATTTATATATGTCTGCTCAAACTTCTAGGATGTATGTAGAAAAATGAATTTATTGCTATAAATTTTCCCGTTTTACACTTATTTCAATTAACTAATTAGACCTGTCAGCTGCTTGTGCCTACGCATTTCCATGAAATGCTCACATTTTATCGCGAATTTAACGACTGAGAAGTATCATCATAGCTTTTTGAATATTTTTATTCTCTTTTATCCTTCATAGAAAAGGATGGCAATCACTATATAATTCATACAATAAATATAATAGTTGTTACAAGACTGATTGTATATATATATATATATATATATATATATATATATATATATATATATATATATATATATATATATATATATATATATATATATATATATATATATATTGAATACCTATTTACTGCGTAAAAAAGGGGGACTTTTTTCACATATTTTGAAGAATTTTTTACTATTATCAAATATATCGTATTAAATAAAGAGAATATTAGTATTACTATTATCATTAACATTAGTATTATTTAGTAAAGACAGATGAAACCAATTCAAGCAATAATTATTTTTACCATGTGTTATGAAAAACTGACATCACTTAGTATCATATAGAAGCTAGAGATGAGGATGTTAAGTCACATAACTTAGGTAGTTTTATATAAACTGTCTTATGCTAAGATACAAGTAATAAGAATTTAAAAAATGACAGCTCAAAGATCACAAAATTGTCAGTCGTTTCGCGAAATTAGATGAGAAACATGATTCAACACTTCACGTTAGTCAATAGCATAATTATATACTATAGACAATTGAACAAGTCAGTATCATTCAATAAAAATGATCATGCAAAGCATCTGAAATTTTTATTAAATCCTAGATTCCCCCTGTTCCCGATCTGATTAAGATAACATTGTATCAACCAAACAAAAGAGCAAATGAATATCGAATAGAGTCGACGAAAAATGAATATTTAACAATATAAATGAAATTTCTGTTTTAAAATAAAAATTATTTAAGATTTAAGATTTTACTCAAAGATAGTAGTAATGCAAACAATAATAATAATACTAGTGTAGGAACTATTCAGTAAAACTTTTGCAAATAAAATTACAATAGTGATGATTTATAAAATCAGTTTTGATACCCAACAAAACAATGAAACAAAATGGAATATGATAAAAATGTGACAGAAATACACTGTAAATAATAATAATAATAATAATAATAATAATAATAATAGTGATAACAATAATACTGTATCTGTAAACAAATCCAATTCCCATCTGGGTAATATACTGATTATATTAAAGGAGTATAAAGAATATGTTATGCACACTACCCACACCTACATTACAGCTTTAAAAAGTTAGGAAGAAACAGGGAAAATAATAGTAGAATCAGACTATAATAACAAGGTTATGTTTATCAAATAACTGCCAGTCAAAGGAACTATTAACAGGTTTACAATAAAAGTTACATATAAGCAACAATAGCAAATACATAAAAGCTCAATATATATATATATATATATATATATATATATATATATATATATAATATTAAGGAAGTGTTCACCAGAAACGTCAGATAAATGTTTTTTTTAAAAAAATTTATTTAGGACTTAAGTATCACAGTCGATAATGTTAAGGTAAATTTACAGAGTGAAGACACACTAAAGGGAGGATTTAAAAAAGAAGTAAAAATTAATATGCACAGCTCAGTACAGCTATTTTAGTTTCTATGACCGTTTTACTGTAAAAGAAACACTAAATAAATGGCTAGAATATAGCTATCGTCCACCTAACAATGAAATCATTAACCAAGAATAAATGTATTTGGTTTTCATGTATTTCTTTTCAGGTGAGGGTTAGTAATAACACCCGGTCACATAAACTGAAGTTCGGAATTCCTAAAATTAATTTGTACAAAAATAAGATTAAACGAAAAACAAGCCTACTCTCGTCACGTACCAAATTAAAACGTACTACGAGCTTTTTTGGCTCAATAACAAAAAGAAACTTAAAATAATAATAAGTAAAAATGTATGAATAATAAGTTTATGTAGCAGAAAGTAAACAATTTTCTCCTTCTGATACTAATTTTAAAAAAGGCTACACCAAATATCACTAGTGACACTAATAGTTACAATAGTAAAAATAATGTTGATAAACTAACCTGGCCTCTGAAATCTCGCTGACATTGACATTGATCTAAAAATAGAAAAACAAAATAACAATGAGGTAACTAAAAATAAACATTAAAAATAACTGGTCAGACTAAATTATCTACTATCTATATAATCGAAACGTTTCATCAGTAATAAATAATACAATTGAGTAACCATATACAGGTTAGTGTGTTTAGCTTTGAGGGGCGCTATTTTTATAAGATTTAATGATACTGTCCCCCAAATATAATCCAGGTAGATGAATACGGTTTTAAACATGAGACCTAAGTACTTTACTAACCATTACCAATTATGGCTTCAGAACATAAGTGCTATTAACAAAACTGGTTACAGTGTACTTCAAGTAAAGACAGACACCGCAAAAAACATGTAATGGAATTTAGATTATGTACATTGTAAAGCATGATCAAGCGAAAATGCCAGCTTGAAATAATCTTAAGCCATTCAGAACATGACTATAAGATACTAACATAAATCTTCCGATTATTCCTAAAAAAAAAGAAAACTAAACGAGGATAAATATTGTTACGGGAGAATAACTAAGAATGAAAAACAACTGGTGAATGATGTAACGTCAACTTGTCTCAACGATGTCATTATTAACACTGAGATTCCCATAAACAGTATCAGAAAAACACAGTGATAATAAAAATTACAGTTAACGTAAGTTATTCACCAAAAAAACAAAATACTCTCAGAATACTATTTAATAATTAGCTGAAAGACAGAAAATCTGACACAGTAAACTGTTTCACCTCAAAAAGTTGAAATAATAAGTAACCCATGTAGCTACTAATCAAACAATCTACAAATGTTTGTAGCATGTCGGCAGTTTATTCAAGAACGAAAGATATTCAGTACATTATTTGTCTAACAATATATTAACGTAGACAGACTGTACAAACATTAGTTCATTAGCAATCTTCTTTTAAATGATACTTTGTAACAAATTGACAATGAAAAAGAAAATAAAAAATAACATTTTTCCAAGTAAATTATTTCAAATCCATTCACATCATGAATAAAACTTATAAATCAGTATGAAATGCACGAAGACAAAAAGAGTGATATAGCGAAGTGAAAAAAAAAACTGCAGAGACATATATGGAAAATGAGATTAAATCATACAATATGAAATCTTGAAAAGTAATAACAAGCCATTAATGTATTATGACTATTATTTGTTATCACAAAAATAAATAAATTCTGAAAATTGGACATCCTCTACCATGTATTATTCAAATCAAAAATTATATCTTTGTAAGTGGATTATAAAATATGAAAAAGAGTAGATCTAGTAAAGAATATCTATCATAAACTATGATAATGATGATGATAACACTTTATTCACTAGAAAACTGTATCATTTTGAAATTATCTTTGAAATATAATACAATACTTGAAAATAAACACAATCCATTAAACAATATCAAGGTTTTTTATCTCTAGTAAACAAGCATGTATTCCATTAATTAGTTAAGTGAATTTTAGATATTAGTTCAATGTGAATAATGTATTTAGAATTAATTTATCTCAGTTGAGCAATTATTGAATATCAAGGAACACTGAACATTTGTTTGAAATCACTTTGATACATTGTAAATGCAAACCCACGAGCTGTTAAGGATCAGTTTATTAGTAAGTGAAAAATTCCACGTTTACAAGTGCAGTTACTTTTTATCCAGTTACAAACAAGAGCCTAAAGATGTTTGTAAGAATCATGTTGGCTTTTCAATTAATTAAATGTTACTCAATATGGGACAACAAAAATCTTAATAATTGAATGGAGTTATGGTTTATGAATACATTACAATTCTATTTGAAACTGGACATACCGATGTAAAGATCGAATTCTACAACAAACTAAATGTGAAGGAAAACAAAACTCACAAGAACTTCATTAAATTATATCGGTGGGACACATTCAATAAGAGAAAACCAATAATAATCCTTGACTGTTAAAAATAGGTTAACTACAGGGATCGAAAAAAAACATAAATTCGGCAATGAATTGTCGAAAAACACATATACGTAAAAGAATGATAAAGCCACTTTTCTAATAACGTACAATATACCTTTGGACAAAGAAATGAAACGAAATCAATATTGATTCTAAAAGAATTATCAATAGGAAAACAAAAAATATTTTAAGTTATCTTTCGAAATACACTTGTAAGATGTTAATTACATGTTTTTGTTCTTTTTGTTTGTCATCTTCCGATTTTATAATCATGTTAGCTCTTCTAAAAACATTTAGGGCTAGCGAGCTCTTTTCACTGAATGGGTGTGCTGCTCTCAATAGAAAAAAAAGGCCTCACTATACATCCAACTTGATCTATCTATCCAAGCTACCATGTCTATTGTTATTCACATTCGACACTATTATCGTACATACAAATTAAACTCTATCCTTTCGCACCACAAAGGTCACATATTTTCATCCCTGATCTTGCACATATACACAAATTTACATACTGTCACTTATATATCACCTTGGCCGAAATGACATGACATTGAGTTGTTCAGACCTGTTTGTTGATTGATCAAATCCAATATTCTTGCTTTGTTCTTTTGTACTATTTAAACTCAAATTAATTTTGATTTGGTTATTTATTCTCTGAAGAAGTGGCCTACACTGAGTCACGAAATCTAATTTTTCTACTCATTGGGATATTACAAATATATTATTTTATTTATAACAATCTACCCAATGTTCAATTTACTCGAAATTGTAAGTTAAACCTTGGTAATGATACCTTTTAACGCGATTATTCATCAGCTTCATTGAAACTTTCATTGAAGATTACCATATCACTGAAAGCTAAGCAGAGTAATAAACAAAATTCAATTCAGGGTATATTTAATCTAAATATTAAATCTATCGAAATGGAATTTATTTATGATATCAGTATCAATCAATAATTAGAATTTAAGGGTGTATCTGCTAACAACAGAATACTGTGTTATTACAACCAAATCAAACCCAATTTATTTATTCGAAAACTGAAACAGTAAATAAAGAATTAGGAAACCGTTATTTTGACAATTCGACATATAATTTTAAGCCAAGAGTTTCGTATAATAAGAATAAGAAAAAAATATTCATAATTTCCAACTGATATATATATATATATATATATATATATATATATATATAAGTGATAAATTACCAGTTAGAATAGATAAATTAATATAATATAAAAACGATAAATAAACAACTATACAAGTCGAACATATAAGAAAAGAACATCAACGAAGGCCATTAAGAGAATAATAGCAACAATTACAACAATCATAGGGACAAAACCCGATTGAATGACGAAAACGTAATTAAATACACTAAATACCATTCTACTGTGATGGATGAACATTGTGTTTTTCTCCTAGTTGTTTGTATACTTCTTTATTTGTTACGTAAACAAGTATAAACAACAATCATCAAAAAGGAAAACAAAGTAGAAAAAAGCGAAAAATAATTATGCTGAACATAAAAATAAATTACAAACTAAGCAAAGATCATTTATAGGGTCTAATAAACTGGTAAGAGATCATAAGTAGTAAGTAGCTTATAGGTTGTTATAACATGAAAGTGTGATATCAACTGACAATTATTGTACAACACTTGAACGTCAAAAAATTAACAAACATTCAACACATCCTTCAAATTCAAACATAAATTAAAACTAATGAATAATGTTCTTATATAAATGTGATTAACCAACAATCTAGTTTCACAAATCATACTGCAAAAGTAAAATATTCTGGAAATCAAAACCCACAGAAGTTGTTGACAGACTAATCACTGAATAGATTTAAATGAATAAAGAAAAATTTTAATTACATAAAAAAGAAACCATACGCTTTTCAACTTTAAAATGTAATGCAGTGATGTATATTATGAAGAAATTCTGAGTGCGATTTCTCGGAATAACATTAGGGTTTTATTCAAACAGAAAAAGAAAAAATGGATTATATAAGTTAGAACTAACTAATTCTAAGAGATATTACATAAGAAAAATATGTGCTCATATGAGCAGAGATAGATTACGACAGATCAAACGAACTAAGAGGTAAGTGATCTGTAGAATTTTGCAGACTGTTTCTACATGCTGCTAAGTACAATCTTAACAGTCCAACATTAACACTGATTTTATTTGATAGACAATTTCGGTAAAGTAGCAAATGACAGGAAATATCATAAAAAGAATAAATGAGTTATTTATCATCCAATCGCTCATTAATTTAATTTGACATTAATTAAGTAACAATAGATGATTTGTGTTATCGAATGCCGCTAAACAAACTGTTGTACATTCTTTTTAAGACTAACTAACCTGATTCAACGTTCATCGAACCGAATCATACTGATTCGTATAAAAATGACTAGCATGCTAGCACTTCGTCATTTTATCGTGACCACTAATATACAATACGATAAATTTCATAAAAACCAATTGCACTGAGTGCGAATTTCTCCTCGAATTCGTTAGTCAAAAAATAACTGGGTCCAAACACGTTACTGATCGAATATATCTAGAAAGATTCGTTTTACATACCTAACTGAAAGAGCAAAAGGATGAACATGGTAGTGGAACGACTTCATTTCTATATGAATGAGTACAGATATAAATGATAACATGTTCATGCAGTTATACACAATGTAGAACCTGGGATATGAACGCATTGGTTTAAATTATCAAACTTCAGTAGCACAGTGAGATGAAATTGTCAGGACGAAAATCCTACAGTAGTAAAGATACTAATAGTATTAATAACAAAGGAAAAAATGGGCGTCAAAAATACACTTTTAACAGAAAATACGGATTAATGGAATGAAAAATACAAAGTGATTCAAAAAATTAAGGTTTAAATAAAGACAAAGAGTGAATGCACCTGCGCCATTTAGGATAATTTTGAGTCATATCACTCGCTCTTTAACCATTGATTATGATAATCACAAAAATCCCAAACAAGTAGTCTTCATTTACCTAAATCTCCCAGTTCAATAATTAGTATCTACAT